GGAGAGTCATAAGATATTTCCTAAATATTCTAACATGAAATATTACCTTATTAAAGATATAAATAACAATTCCGGGGACTTTGTCTGTTTTTATGCAAGATAAGAGATGTAGTATCATAAGAATAGGTTTATTTTCATGATCCCCTCTCTCTCTCTCCTAAGTGATAGTGATTATAGAACTATTACGCACATTGTGAAAAAGTTTTGAAAAAAATTATAAAGACTATATCATACTTCACTAGTTCTTAGAAAGCTAGTTATATTTATATAATAAAATTAAATACAAACGTGTATTTCTTTTTCTCAAAGAGTATCCCGCGAAAAAAAAAAATCCCGTGCTATCTAGCGCTATTATTCTCATTCACTCATAGGGTTTGAATAAGGTCCGTTATAGTTTTAGACTTCGGGGTTTACACACTACAGCAATGGGCAGAAAAAGGAACCCAAACTTTAGTGAAATGGAACTCCAAATACTTTTGGATAATGTGGAAAAAAATAAGGAAATTATTTTTAGCAAACATTCAAATGTTGTAACCAATATTTCCAAAAACGAGTTTGGGAGGGGATTTGTGAAAAGGTGAATGCCGTGTCTTCGGGACACACTAGAACCGTAGATGAACTTCGAAAGAAATGGTCAACCTATGCCAGTGACACGAAAAAGAGGATTTCCTCAAATCGGAAAGAGTCAGTGAAGACCGGGGGAGGAATGGCACCTCCCAAGCTTACGCCGCTTCAAGATAAAATTGTTGGTATTATAGGGCCCACGGCGATCGAGGGAATTTCAGGAGGTTTAGACACTTGTGGGGAATTCGAGGATGCATGCAGCAGCCTCAGCTCTGCTTCAACTATAAGTTTACAAGGTAAAAATAAATATACCATTCATGTATATTATAAAAATGCCGCTTTTTCATTGCCTAATTCAAAGTTGAATTCCGCACTTATAGAATATTTTCTCCTTCGCCTTTGTATCTCAAAATTATCAATGAAATGTTTATGTCTATTAAGTGAATAATCCAAAAAAATATTTAGCGGTTGCATATTGGCTGTAAAAGTGGGTTAGGGTATAACAAATGCTATATAGGCTATTAATTTAGGAAGGGTAAATTATTTTTATAAGTAAAACTAAATAATTCTTTTTTTTATGAAGATAAACCATCTACCAGTGGGAACAATGAAATGGATCCACCCAAAAAAGTGTCCTCCAGGAAGCACCATATACAGGATGAGGACAATCAAAGCTCCCAAAGATTAGTCGCAATTGAAGAGGAGAGACTTCTCGTAGAGAAGGAGAGACTTTCTATTGAAAAGGAGAGACTTGAAGTGGAAAAGCAGAGACTTGAAATTGAGAAACAAAAATTAATCATATCACAACAACGTCATCAAATTTATTTAGGGCAGTTAGGTGTTCAGTTTACATGTATACCCCAAGGTGCTGACACGAGCATCGCACATGAGTAAAATGTAATAAACAAGTATTGCAGACTTAGTCATATAAAAAAAAACAATGAAAATATTCAGGTATAAAATAATTGTATACTTCTTAAGAATGAACCTACAGGTATTTCTAGATTTTCGATATACATGCATGCATGATGATTTTTAAAAGACAAATGTACTAAGCATAAGCTAGACAATTGCAATCAGCCAGGCATTCATTGTCTGAAAAATTCATTTACTAGTCGTAATCTGACATTTGCTCCGTCACCATTTAAATTCTCAGCGAATTGTTGAGCACGTATGTGTCCATTATCGTGGGGATCACATCCTTCAGGGAGTGGGATTCTGTCGATGATCCACATGTTGTGTAGCACTGCTGTGGCAACAAATATTTTGCACACCTTGTCGGGACTGTATAGAAGTGTTCCGCCGCTACTGTCCAGGCACCGGAAACGAGCTTTAAGCACACCAAAAGCCCTTTCTATCACGTTTCTTGTTCGAATGTGGGATGTGTTGTATCTCTCTTCATCTTGAGAATTTGGCTTTAACACGGGTGTTAACAGCCATGGGCGCAAGGGGTATCCACTACATCCTAAGGGGACGACCATTTGATTCTGAGGGGCGGGGGGGGGGGGGGGCGGGCAAATTTTTTTGAGACGGATTATTTATTTTCATGCCTGTCAAGGACAGATTATTTATTTTCAAGATTATCGAGGACAGATTATGTATTTTCTTCTTTGTCTTAGGGTACCTTGATCGATTGATTTTAAAAGACTATCTAATCATTTAAATACCATAGGCGGATTCAGGATAGGAGTTGTGTATAACTTCGTTCAGGCAAGAGGTATGGGGCCGCCTTAAGGCCCCCAGTGGGTCCTGGGCGAAGCATTGGTGGAGGCCAAGGGAGGGAAATTCCCCAGAAGCTCTTGGGTTTTCGGGTATTTTAAGAGTAAAATCAGCACAATTATAGCGGTATTGGTTATTATGTAGCAAAGTATGACATTATTAATATTGGTCATATTATACTTTGAATGAAGGGGGTCCAGGGGGCAAAGCCCCCTGAAGCTCGTGGGTTTTTGTGTATTTTAAGAGTAAAACCAGGCACAATTATGTAGAAATTGGTTAGTTATGTTCCAAAGTATGACATAATTAATACTAGTCATATCATACTTTGAATGAAAGGGGCCCAGGGGGCAAAATCCCCTGAAGCCCTTGGGTTTTTGTGTATTTTAAGAGTAAAACTAGGCACAAAAATATTGATATTCTACTAAAGTATGGCAATTTTAATATAATTCATATCATACTTTGAAATTTTAGGGGAGGGGTCATACACATGTATGCCTTCCTTAAATCCGCCACAGTATACTTTGTATTAATTTATCGGGAAGTATAATTCTTTGACAAGAAAATTTATCTTTTGTATTGTTTAAGAATTGGCTTGTATTTAAATTGATTCATCACATCTACTGAGTGCACATTGTCATGTTGATCAACTGACTACAAGTATCCAGTCTCGTAATCTGATTTTAAATATTATTTGATTCTAAAATGGCGAGCGAAGCGAGCCAAAAAAATGCTGAATTGAAGATTCTGAAGTTAAATTACATGGAAATAAACAGGTATTTTCACAATATTTAAATATCATAAGTCAAGGTCAGATTATTTATTTTCTTTGCAGAGGAGGACAGATTATTTATTTTCAACATTTTCAGGGACAGATTATTTATTTCCAAAATCTGCCAGCCCCCCCCCCCCCCCTCAGAATCAAATGGTCGTCCCCTAATAACCATCCCTCACTTATCGTGCCGTTCACAAACAGACGTTTTAATTCCGAATTAGACCATATAAAAGCATCATGAGTACTTCCGGGCCATCTTGCAACTACATTTAAAAATTTCAAAGTCGAATCACATACTCCTTGAATGTTTATGGAGTGATAGTTTTTGCGATTGACATATAAGTGTTCGTCGGTGGTTGGTGCTTTCATTCTAATATGAGTACAATCTATTGCCCCAACAGTGTTTGGAAAATGAGCAATTTCATAAAAGTCTTTCTTTATTTTGTTCAACTCTACTACATCAACTGGCATTTTAATGTTATGTTTGGAAATTTCAATCAAACAGTTTGTAACATCTTCTATTGCATTCCCTGTGCTTTGCCGAGAAATATTGTGAATATCTGCTACAACCTCTTGAAAACTACCACTGGCGTAAAAAAGTAGAGCTACCATTATTTGAAGGGATACTGGAAGTGAACGTGACCTCATTGTTGGCCGGTGAAGGTCTTTTTCAAACATAGCACATAGATTGTGTATCATTGGTCGAGTTAGTCTGTATTTACTCACAATGCTTTCATCGTCTAGGTAGTCCAGAGGATTGTTGTAGTCCCTGAGGACGCGTTCTCTACGGAGTCTCCTTCTTCTCCTTTGGATAAACACATAGGCAGCGGCCATATTTGATCATATACAAAGTTAAGACACCTCTTAGGATATCTTAACTTTAGGAGAAATCTTACGACATGTCTTAAGTTAGGATAAATTCCATGGCCTCTCTTAGGACTAAGATATCTCTTAAGATATGTCTTAGTCCTAAGATGGCTTCGATAGCATGCCTGCAGAACTCTTGGTGTGCAGTGTAGAAAGGGTTCTTAACTTTCAGCCCTCCTCATCCTTTATCTTTTCTGTATCTGATTTGTATGTAATAGTGAAAGATTATTATTAATGTTTAACACCGAGTCGGCAATATTAGAGAAAGAAGAGTAACTCTAAGTTCACTTCTAAATTATGACAGATAGTTGCCAATACTGTTTGAAATGTAAAATAAAGAAGTTTGGATCATGTTATCAAAAGTATTGAGATTTTTTTATTTCAGGTAATTTTTTAGAATCTACACGCATAGCTTAATAAAAATTCGAAACAAAACATGGGGATCAGAGCTCTTTTTAAGCACTACGGCGCAATTCATATGACCCTTTTGCACTGTAATTACTAGTAGTATTATCACTTGAATCAATTTTTCAAAGTTTTCCTCTAGTAATATTTTTTTTTAAAAGATTGGAACATACTAAGCCTTGAATAGTCAAAATTAAAGAAAATTGTGAGAACAAACATAGTTTCAAATATCTTCGCACAGAGGTGTTTTGGGGGTGGGGGTGGTGAATTACATGTATGTAAGGCCGCAGGAAATAAATTCTTTTTTCTGCAATAAAGGCGGATAGGTTTATTTGAAAATCCTTTTTAAAATAAACATAATAACAGGTTTTTCCTTCAAGTATTTTAATCACATATCCCTTGCAATTAGTCTTCAGTATACCGGTATTTAATGACATGTATATTTCATATTTGAAAGAAAAAAGGAAAATAAAAATTCAAAGAATTTCATACATGTTTTTCTCAACGTGATGTAAAAGTAAAAGTTTTTATAATTATTTGTAATGTTATTCATATATTATTATTATTTTGTAATATTTTTCCTTTATTTTTTTTGAAGAGTTTACATTCCTTTAGTCGAATTAGGGGATATTCACCAGAAATTGACGAGAGACATTAAAAAAAAATGTGGACCATAACCTTCGGAATATATCACATGTTACAATAAATGTTGACACAATGGATGCTTATGGTAATTTTTTTTGTATGGTTCTGAAAATAATCTTTCTGGAAATTAAAAAGAACCAGATAAGGTAACGATCATTTGATTCCGTGGGGGGGGGGGGGGGGGGGGGTTGGAAATATATTCTATCCTCGAAAATCTTGAAAATAGATAATCTGTCCTCGACGGACAGGAAATAAATAAATAATCTGCCCCTCCCTCCCTCCCCCCCCCCCCCCCACACACACGAATTAGAATTTTAGACTTTGATGTTATTCTTTTCATTTTTTTCTTCTTCACAGACAAAAAAAATAATATGATTTAAAATAATTTTCCAGCCCCCCCTCTCAGAATCAAATGGTCGTCCTCCATGATGTTAATATTAAAAAATTAATAACGAAAATATTCATTAGAAATTTTGTACAATCTAATGAAAATTCAAACTACATATCTAAGAAAAGGCTCATGATGTTTTTGTAAAATAAAATATCAATACCTCTACAAATAACAAAATCACCTATTATATTGCAACATATATACAGTATATGATAAGTAATGTAGAAGTATGTGATTTTAATTTTTACAGTGAAAACCATCCCTAACAAGACCTTATTCTCTATCATTAAATACCGATATTAATTCCAAAACATTTTACAGTTAAAAGGTTTTACCAAGAGAAAGTTTCAAAAATTTAATTAGATAAGAATTTAATAATCAAAGGAACTTGCGTTGAAGTCAAAGGAGACGAACGATTTTTTTAAATAACAAGAGGCCCACGGGCCTTATGGGTCACCTGAGAATCATGTGACAACTTTCCAACAAGAATCGAATTGGTTCGTGTTTTAAACCAAAGACCATGAAATTCACAATTTTGAAAAAGGCACCATTAATTGCTTATCATAACTAGACCTCGCGTGCTTACACTGCATTGGTTACTAATACCCAGAGGTTGATCAGAGTAACAAAGAGAACATACATTTCCACTTTATAACCAGTTATGCATCCAACCCCACAGGAACCACTAACCCTGGGCCAAATATCTCAAAATTCTTGAAATTTTTTCATAAATTAAATTTTATCATACATGGTTAATTAATACCAAAGAGCAGATCTTAAAGCATTCATTTATTTTCAGACCATGTAATCACCCCCAACCCCAAGTACCCTGAAATTAACCATATTAAAGGAGGTACCTTTCATCATCATTAAAATGTACTTATATCATTGGCATAATACCCAGGAGCAAATGAAGAGATTTTCAACGAATAAAATTATGCATTTTCACTATGGGCCAATTTCATTTGTCACTGATCGGCGTACGCCGAATTACACCGGTCATATGACCGTCGTAAAACGGCTAAGAGGCAAATGAAGTAAACCGGCGAAAACATAACAAGAGGCCCATGGGCCACATCGCTCACCTGAGTACTG